TCTCCCCGATCGGCTCAGCGTACACATGGAAAATTATGCGTGACGCATAATCTGCACGTATCGTTGAAAAAAATAACTGCCCTGATAGAGGCGAGATAACATTTTGCATCTCGCCGATGTACTTTGTTTCTGACGGCAATTGATATACGTATGATATTATTTACGCATCGCGAATCGTACGCATCATGATATCCAGCATATTCTTTCTCATTTTAACAAGGACCTCGCCTGTCATTGTACTCGGATCAGTCTCGCTCGTCACAAAAAGTAAGAAAGGCGTGTTTCTGAAATTACGCGACTCGACAAATATATCTACCAGGTGCCAGATCGAAAATAAATTCTCCTGTCAGAAATCGTAATCACTGTGTAAATGTCAAAGTCTAAAATACTTGCGCCAGTCAGACTAGAATTCTGCTCTTGCGAAAGAAACTTTTCAACTACATTATCTAGCACGCGTTCTAATAACTCCAATTGTTATTCCTATACGTGGTACAAAGTCTGGTATACGTTCCATTTTATATAAACTATAATTCTATACGAAATAAATAATTCGAATAAAATACCTCTGTTGTTATCTCGCGGTACTGCGTATTACTTTCTAATCGTTGCAATTACCCAATGGCCAAGATTAACACGAGTAAATTCATACAAAATGCTCTACGATTAAATATATCGATCACATGATCGTGATGTGAATCTATATGAACCTCTCTAAGGAATATTGAACAATTACACTCAAGTTATTTTTGTCCTTATCCGCGATTACAATTCGCAGCCTTATCTCGATAATGTCCATACGAATGTCGGGTGCACTTTTATCGGTTAATTGTTGACACATCCTATCGAAGAACTAATCCATTGTATTACACGGTTACTCATTGGGATTGTAATCGATTTATTTTTTTTTCTTTTTCTTTTTTTTTTTTTTTTTTTTTTGGCCAGCGAATGTCATCGTTCGACGCTGTTTAAAAAAATAATTTTGTTTCAGCTCTTCAACTCGTGCTCACGAAAGTATATACAACTATACAAATGTTAACTTCGCCGACGAATTTGTTCCTCGAATTTATTTTTATCTGAACTGTACTCTTAACAAACAGAAAGACGTTTTAATATTTTTCGGTCGTTTCAATTTCTCCGCGAAGCTAAAAAATTCGAGGAACAACACGATTTCAAGAAGATAACGGGATTAAATCCAAGGGTAACAACGAGGAGTATTCTTCAATATTATATGAACGACAATTCGAATTCCATTCTTCTCTCTCCACATATTAATACGTTATACGCATTTCAGAGATGCTTGCGAAGTGAACCCACGATCTTAAAACGTCACCCGACCAATGTGGGTACATACTTGCTGGAATAAAACATTCAAGAATTGGACCTTGATATAATGCAATGTATCTCAACGAATTTTTAATCACGACCTCGTTTTATAATAACCTAAGTAATCTACGACCTCCTACTCTCTCGTTTCAAAAAAGACGTTTTTTCCAAAAATGTTCATACGATAAATATGCAAAAATAACGGAGAAAACATCGAGTATTTCAAGATATAATAACTAATTCGATATTTAATTATCTCGACACATTTAATGTAGTATTTATTTAACCTGTTAACCAAAGTTATCAGAAATTTAATCAGAAATGTCTGCAATGTCGTGAAATTGAACGTTACTAAAGATGATTCAATTTCAGAATTTAATTTTCTCAAAATGCAAGTTTGATGTAACTTCCTCTTGGTAAAGAGAACCGTACTTGGGAAATTAGGAATAGGCAACAAATTAACTCAACTTCAGATATGACGAAACTTATTCTTACTAAAAGAATTAAGAAATTTGGAATAGGTAGCTCGATTTTATCCTTTCCAAGTAAAAACATAACTTATTCTCAGTAGAAATAAAAAGAAAAAAATATAGAATCCATAAATAAAGGAGAAAAAGATTTGTTGGGAGTAACTGACTCATCTAACTCATCTTCTCCGGATAATTAACAGTATAATAAAACGCTTCGCGAAGATTAGAAAAACCAAGTGCATTTCCACGTTTCCTAGAAAGTTGCGTCGAAAGAACGTTCGAAAAAATTTTGATGGAAAACTTGCCGGTGGAAGGGAAAGAAAGATGCGTGCACGCGCAAAAACGATCGTTCGCGAGGAACAGAGACGTCGTTATGATTCACGTGAAACTTCCGTGGCGTCGCCGAGGGAAGCAATGAGAATACGGCGTGATCGCGATACACGATCGTCGACTTCGATAAGAACGGTTCGTGTCTTCTCCTATCTGTCTGCAATTTCCATTAATGAGCGAGCAAGTGAGCTTTCTTCGGTCTCGCGTGCTTCGTTCGTTCACTAAGGTGGCGATCCTCAAAGTTGAACGATAGTTGGCAAACGATGAAAGCGAGTAATTGCGTTGGAGGACAGTATGCGTAATTGATAAAGTTCTCGAGTGGAGGAGCGTATCTTCGCTGGGGAGCATCGTCCTGTTATATATGTTTAATTATCAATCGTTATCGGTGTTCGATGATGTCACCAGCACGAGCCTCTTGATCCAAGTTAAATTTGGGTAACCCCCCTTCCCCCCCCCCCCGCCCCCAAGCCATAAATCGTGAAACGAAGTTCAAGAAGTTCTGGACGACTAGACTGTGGATTTTTGTACAATAATGGCAATTTTCAATGTGGAAAAAAAACTAGTAGAATTAGGTAAAATATTATAATATGTCTCGTTAAAAACGTCTTTTTTTTGGACCTACTATATGATCTTACGTCATATTTATATTTTATTTTTTAACTGATATTTGCTTGCTGCGTGTAATGTGCACAAAACGTAAGAAATAATGTGTAGAGTATTCGTTATAATATTTACTATACAACTTTTTTAAAATCATAATTAATAAATCCTATTCTTCTCCAATATGTTCCAATATTTTCTAATATAATCTACATACATAATCTATAAATTTTATTAGGTAAAATGTCTGCTTAGCTTTAATTTTTTCAATACTGCGTCTAAAAATGTGACATAAAGATGAAGTACAATGAAACGATGAAAATGATGAAAAAACGAAAAAATATAATAAAATGATAAAAATAATGAAATATAATGAAAAATGATGAGAATAACGAAATACAATAAAATAATGAAAGTAAATGAGTTTGACTGATTAAAAATAAACGAATCAGGCTCGATGTATTTGAACAAAAGAACATTTCCGCGATAACGGATGATGGGAAAATTACTTTATTGTCAAGCTTTGAATCGATACATTTCATTTACAATGCCACATATATCTGCATGATCCCAGAATTTCCCAGTTCGTATTCCTAGAATTTCTTTCGACGAGTTCTCGGTAACAAAAGATAGGTGACCGATTATATCCAGAACAAAGCAGATGATTCTGATATCGTCAGGAATTACCAATCGTTTGATATCGCTTATCAGGTGAGCACGGTGTTACGTGAACCGAACGAGGCTTAATTTTATTACATTGGTTTTAACAGGCCCAAGGCATTTTCCGCGAGCTTAGCTTAGAAAGAAACGTAATACATACTTCTTATCGACAACAGTAGAAATACAAGCGCTAAGTAAGAATAAATATTACACGATCGCTCTTGTGTTGTATCAATGGTGCCAGCGAGTCTACCACTGTCTACTTATCTGCCTATGATTCTCCCTTATCGCGTGCAATCGCGTGATTCCTTTTTCTCCTTTCGATGTACAACACAAACAGAAAGCTTCTTCAATCATACGGTGTGTAGCAAATATTGGAATTCTTTTTCGTATGAAGTTTGCTTTCCATTTTGTAATCAAAGATAGAATTCGATCTGCACATATACACCTGTGAAAATATTCGAATTCATGTGGATATCATTTATGAATGTATTACGTGAGTTGTACGAAGCATTTTGAAATCTTGTGTTTTGACACTGTAATGAAATTTGACCATCGTGATCGATATAAAATAAATCTGATAGTGTATATATACATATACAGAATATGGGTATTTCTCTCTTAGAGATCAGAAAATTATTTAAGTAATTAATATTCGAATTAGTAGTTTGTAATTTCCATACAAACTTTCAGATTGATCGATATAATCGTGAAATTCCAAAATGTTTTAAGCAACGCACACAGTGTCTGTGATCCTAAATTCTTCACCAGTTGATTGAAAGGAGAAAGGGGAAGAGGTTTCGAGCCGATGTCAATTCAATAATCATTTCTCGATTTCTCTGTAATCGTCGATCAGAGCAATCATGTTGCCGCGAGCTTCATCGAAGCAATCTTCCTCCATGCCTTCGCCTACGTAATGGTGAACGAAAGCTCTTCTCTGATACATCAAGTCGAAATTCCGGGCAAGCAGTGACCATCTCTGTTTGATGGCGGTATTGTTGCTGGCCATCACCACTGTCCTCCTCGATTTTGCCAGATCACCTCCAGGAACTGTTGTAGTGGGCTGATAGTTAATTCCTATCTAAATAAAATTAATCGTTCGAATTTCTGAATGGACGTGAGTAGCGATGAGTATTATCGGCAGGATAATTATAACAGCAAAAATAACGCTTATCTAATATGTTGAATCAACGCACGAAACTTATCTACGAAATCGATTTACTATAAACATTTAGTGAGTCTATAATACAAATTTTTAGATCATTAAAATAAAAGGATTGATTAAATTTTCTACAGGACTGACTGTTTAATTTCCTGTTCATAACTTCTTCAATTATTTATTCGTTTTCATTCAAACTGTTCTACTTGATGAAGGTAAAATTTTATTAGTGACAGCTGAATGCTTAATCGTTAATACTATAAGGATATGTTATGATATTATGACCTAATCATTAATACTTATAGTTCTGTTAAAAATTCATAATAAAATATCACATGATGCAAAACGATCGAGCGTCGCTTGCAGCTGAAAATCACGTGATGTCTCAGTGACATAACGTTTCTTTCTTAATAGAAAGAATCAACAGCTGCATTTATCGACGTAAAACCAAACTTCCACACTCGCAATTTCTCTCAAGTTGTTTGATTCTGACAATTCGGCAAATCTAAGGAAAAGAGTTAAACATCCGTTCTGGACATCATAGAATTTTTATCCTTGTTTGCACGAAAGATGATGCAAATCGTCTTTTTTATTTCACGAGACTAAGTGAGCTTGTGGCTGATTGCACAAAAATCGGCGTTATCGATTTATAGTTCAACGTACTGGCCATTTTTCTCGCAATCGGACGTCAATGTTGTGCATAAACAAAGTGTCAGAAAATCACCACGTCATTTAGCAAGACGTCCTTGTTGACAACGAGCATTTGTTTGTTAGAAAATGAAAAGAAAAAAAAAGGGGAAAAGCCGAAGAGGTACCTTGAACCCGGTCGGACTCCAAGTGACGAAACGGATCGACTTCGTCCCCTTCAGCGACGCGATGGTTTTATTGACGTCATTTGGACTCACGTCTCCGCGATAGAGCAAACAGCAGCTGGTGTAAGCTCCTGTCCGTGGATCGTACGTTACCATCTGAAATTCATGAAACTTCAGGATCGAACGAGACCGCAGTGAATATATTGACAGAGAAATAACATTTACTTTGCACACTGTGGTGTAAATGAAATCACGGAGTTTAATGATAAAAGTAAGAAAAACAAAAAAGAAGTCAGTTAACTTATCAAGAACCAAGCAATAATTTATTATAACGTTATTATGTATTTCTTGAAATTTAGAAAATTAAAGGAATGATGGAATCTCGGTGGAAGACATAATGATGAAAAGAAATTAAGCAAACCTTTGGAATTCCTTTTCGCAGTCGTGGTGTTAAAAAATAGAATCTTATGATATAAATCAATTGAAATGAACAACCGTCAAGATTCTCGATGATGATTTTTTACAAATCGACTAGGGAAAGTTCCGATTTTTGTTTTACCTGATTAGCAGGTGCGAAACAATCGTACGTGATCTGCCGGGTAGTAATTTCAGAATGCATGACTTTTCTGGGACAGATCAATGGAGCGTATGTAACCAGAGAGAAGTGAATTCTAGGATACGGCACTAGGTTTGTTTGCAGTTGTTCGAGAGTGAGATTCACAGCACCCTCGAACCTCATCGAAGCCGTGACGCTTGAGACAACTTGAGCCATCAGGCGATTTAAGTTGGTGTAAGTTGGAGAGTTTACATTCAAATTCCTAACAGACAACAGGAAAATAGGCGAACAGAACTCCCTTGGTTTAACACTCGTGCTGCGTTGTGTTTCAATTATTCCAGAGATAAATTAAAAAAATTTCTTTCGACGAGAAGGTCGAATACCTGGCACAAATGTTATATAAAGCTTCGTTGTCGACAAGGAAGGAACAGTTCACGTGATCCAATGTACCATGGGTAGTAAAAACTGCATTGTAAGGTTCCACGATAACAGTAGCAATGTTAGGTGATGGGAAAACAACAAAGTCCAGAGTGATTTGCTTGGGATAATCTCGTGACAGTTGTTCGAGTAACAATGTGGCGAAACCGCTTCCGGTACCACCGTTCAATGATCTATAACGAAGTCGAGTTTTCATCAAATCAAGGCAATAAATAATTTAACAAGCAACAAATTTCTCGTCGCGACGAGCCTTCGAGTTTTTATAAAAAAATTTTACTTTCGTTAAAATTTCGATTAAAATACCTGAACACGATAAATCCTGCCGGTTTCGAGCATGTTTCCCATATTTTAGACACACGATCTAGGACAAGGCCAATTGCTTCACTACCGATGGAATAATATCCCCTAGCAAAATTATTCGACGCGTCTTCTTTGCCAGTGATCAATGAATTTGGGTTGAAGAGATTCTTATAAGCACCAGTTCTGATCTCGTCGATCACTGTGGGTTCTAGATCAACGACCAACGTACGTGGAGTCAGCTTTCTTACCTAGAAATGAATTTCCATGCAGGAAGAGCTTTTGAAAACTCGTCGCGACAATATCTTTGTTGAAACTCGATAATACTCGATTGTAATTTACGATAAAAGTTGAAAAATTTCTGATTTTCATGTTACTTTATGGAGGAGTTTAACGTGACATAGTTAAAAATATAAGATCTTCATTTTCACTTGATTGGACGAATTATAAGGAATTTATAAATTGACAATATTTTGTATAAAATCAAAGGCGCGGTTATTAAAACCGGGAAATATTTGTATATTTTTAAATATTTTTATATTGTAAAATAAGATATATTACAAAACAAAATATGTAAAAATATATAAAATAGTAATGTACATTACAAATAAGAAATTATAAAGAATTCTATAAATTTATACACAGTGTGTATAAATTTTAAAGATCGTTTATTTTCTCACTTGTGTCTCTGAAAAGAAAGAATACAAAGAAAGATCCGTTGGATAATAGCCCTGGCGAAGACAACCATCGGGAGATACACCATGTTCCAAACAAAATAATTCCCAACAAGCATTTGCTATTTGCACGCCAGCTTGTCCTATGAAAATTGTTATTATTTCACCTGATTCTTCCATCGTTTAACCATATTCCAATTTACAAGCTTCCGATGAATTTCCATTTCCGACGAAAAAAAACAGTGAACGCTTCATCGTTCAGATGTAAAATTACGCCAAAGATTTTGATCATTATCGTACATCTTTTTCTTTTACTTTTTAACGAAACATTTTTTTATTTATATATTTGTCAAAGTGACAAGTTCAAAAGGTATTGAATTTATTCATTTATCGAAGAATGTCAAATTTTTTGTTGTGTCAATGATAATGTGAAAATTGACGTTTATCGAAGAACGTTTGAACGGAATGATAAGTCAGAGAAGATTGTTTTGGTTCTGCAGATGTTTATTGCGCAACATTATATAAAGAATAACAAAGTTTTCTAAACGTTTGACAGCAATTTTTAAAACTGCGCATTTGCAATGGCATTGTACATTAACAATGATTAGGTACACATTTACAACGATTTTGTATAATTCCACGGAAAAATATTTATTACTGTATTATTTATCTTTGCCTACGAACTGGCAGTACTTTAATCGATAAATTAACTGCTTTTGTTCACATAGGCGCATGGTCTTGTAAATTTCATTCGTGAATGAAATACATGTTTTTGCTAAATCGTTTCTATAGTTGATATGTATTTTGATCCCTCAAATGCAAGAACATCAAACGAACAAGAATAAGTACCAACATACTTTAAATTTAGGTATGCTACATCATTTCCCCTTGTGTTATAAAGTATTAATTGTCGTATACTTGAACTTTAATATCCTGCGGTAAGAAACTGAATGCTGCAGCAATTTGTCACGTTGGTTTTTGTACTTTTTTTTTTATAGATCTGATTTAATTTTATATATCATATTTTTATCCTATTTAGCAAAAAATTAATAGATCTTAATAGATCTTAATCACAACGCTTTATGTTGACGTGAAATCAAAAAGGGGCATCTCAAGAGGAGTTAATGGTGGTAGAGGCGCAAGTCTTAAGGAATGTGTATCTAATCTAGAGTCATCATTAAGATTAACAGCATGGAGTTGTCGGGTTAATTGTCTCACTTCCTCTTCCTTTGCCTCTAACTGACTTAATAAGCTTCCGACTAAGCAACGCAACTGACAATTAACAGTTTTGAGTTCCTCTATAACAGTGACTGCATCCTTTGGATATTTAAAAGCTTTGTCTTCATTGTTAGGTATTGAGATCAGAGTTAGAAGACTATCTTGCTCTTCAATTGTTTTATATATGGCTTGCCGTAAGGATACATCAAACTTATCATTTGTAACCTCAGATGTATCCTTTTCAATCTGTTTTGGCGTTTGTTTACTAAGAATTTCTCTCTGTTGATTTTCCAACGTAGCTTTATATTCTTCGTATTCCGCTTGTTTCATTCTGAAAAGTAAATTTTTATCAATAATTTAACAAGCATTACATAAATATAATTTGCACAGTATAGCAAAAAAATATTACTAATGTACTAACCTAACTACAGCAGCTTGTCTTTTATGATAATCTCGTTGAAGGGCTAAAGATTCTAGACTAATAAATGAATGAAAAGAGGAGATAACAACTGGTGGGGTTTGACTAGATAAACCAGGTGTCTTCAAATTAACAAAATTAGATTCAAGTTGTGCATGTGCATCTGATAGAAGACTGGCCACTGTTTCATGACACTTGGCTGCCTCTTCGAAACGACCCTCTTGCAACAATGCCTCTGCTCTCCTTTGTCTTTCGTGCGCCTTTTGTAGAAAAAATTATCATATCAGTATTTATATAATGCACTAATCTAAAAAATTCTAAACACCAATAGTACCAAGAAAAAGAAAATGATCAAAAATTAACATATGACATTTAACAACTCAATATCAATACGACGTAGTTTCGCACACTCGCACATTTTTGCAAAATCGACTGGCTCATGCAAACGATCATTGCAGATAGCGACGGACAATTGGGTAGTTCACAAATTACGTACACATGTTAACATTTTTTCGTAACATACAATGATATGACGTCCAAGAAAACACGATGACACTTACCGCGTTCAGTATTGAAGTCTCCATGGTTGATTAACTCATCGAATACAATAAAACCAGAAAGGCAACATGTTGGTTATTTTCTGTTACGGCAGATAATATACATACTTATCAATTGAGCATGAATATCATCCACCACTGCCATCACTACAGCACAGATGAGGTCACAGAGGTATATGAACTGTAATCAGACGAAACCGATTAACGAAAGCTCATTAAATTTTAAGTTTATTCAGCGATATCTTGTCTGTTCTATTCTTAATTCTGATAATGCTTTCATAGCATTTCCAGACGATAGACGTAAAATTTGTATATAATTATAATATATGAAATAAAAGACGAGATATATGAAATAAAAGAGATAAAAGACGTAACGTTAAACCTCAAATTAGATGTTTAAAGCGTTTTTAAAATTAAATGATACATATTGAAGTGATTTTAATAAATAAATATTAAAATGTTAAGTAAACTTCAATATTACCGACCTATGGTAATGGCAGTTTCATATATTGTATGGTTTGCTATTAAGAGATGACACTGCTGTATAAGTGTAGATGTGAAATGGATGCAAAACGTATGTTAAAAGTTTAAAATTATTCTAAGCTGTATAAGCAGTAACACACGTACAAAAAAACTTTACATTAATTCCTTCATTAAATTTTGATTGTGTAATTAATATTGGAAGGTATTAATCAGGCGAAATACAACATTTACCAAAATAGAAGGCAAAAGTGAACCATTATACATTTGTTAAAACGGTTGCACATACGTCAGTCAATGGCTGACCAAAATTTCAAGTACGAAAAAATGTGTCAAGTAGGTAACAAGTTATCATTTATTAATAATAATCCTTGACGAATTGTATATGCGTACATTGAGAAAACATCATTAAATTCTAAAACGGCTTTGCAATCATAGAGTCCTAGTCACACAAGAGTCGAAAAGGAATTGAGCGTAGGCGTGAACCCGATGCCTTTATAGGAATACGAGGATCAACGTGGAAACTTAATTATTCGAGCTATCAGCCGTCTATGTATATGGTTTCGTCGAGTGTTTCATCTATTAGAAAATAACGTTGACCTCATCTCTTCCGACGGAACTTGAAAAATTTCTCGGCCTCCTTTAAGGTTCGTCGGTCTCGCAATCAATTCAAAACATGATCAACATGGTCGTCAATCTCGACACGTCGAGTCGATTAATATTATCGGCTTTGTCATAGGTA